CCCCTTTAATCAGAGACCCTGCGGATCCCCCACCTTCTTCCTCCAAGATTGAACCTTTATCCCTTCTGGCAGATCAGGTCCCATGACCTTTAAGATCAGACGATTGTCCAAAGAGTCGCGCAACCACGCCCCCGGCCCATGTTCCCCCGAATTAGGCAGTAGAGATAACCAATAGTCTGGGACAACTTTTTGAACTGAAATGTAATTACTTTCGATGTTACGCAGCCTGTTTAGTTTTTTTTTTAAGTCGGTCGAGCGGGATCCAAGCCTCAAGAGTGTCATCCCATATTAAATCTTTGATCTGCACCACCCCTCTCTCTATCCAGGCTTTTCCAAAGGAGCCTGTGCTACCATCTGCTTTCAAGGGGGAGTTGTCTAACGTAATAAGCGGATTTTCAAACAGGATCTGATTCAATACCTCTAGACGTGTTTTTGGTGGACGAAGGACTTATGGGAAAAGCCTGTGTCAGGCAAACAGAATATTCCGCCACAATTTCGATTTTGTTTTTTTTGCAGTAAAAGAAGGAATGAAAAAATAGAGCCAAAAGTTAGCAGGGCGCGATAAGCCCCACTCCTTGGTGAGGATATATTCGGCCAGTTGAGTCCAGAGTTTAGAGCGAGTGCCAAAGGCTGCCGAGGGAACCCACTTGCAGAGAAGTGCAAGGTTCTGTTGGAACGGGTCCAACAAACCCAACCCTCCCTGAGTCCTTGTTGTCGTCACCGAGTCCCAGGCCACTTTCCAAATAAAGCCTTGTTGAATCTCAGCTGTCGGCTTCGACAAGTAGCGGGCTGCAACCTTCTTAATCCTAGAGGATGCCTCTTCGCCAGTAGGTGAACGGGGAGAGGGAACCATAGTAGTGAAAAGACCGCCGAAGATAATACCAAAGCACGGCCAAACAAAGAGAGCTTAAAATTTTGTGCCCAACCAGTAATCCTTACCTCCACTTTATCAGCCAGTAATGCATTCTGGGCCTTTAAACAATCCGACAAGGAAACTTCAATGCCCAGAAAACGATTCGAAGAATTAGCAGGAATACGATTAAGTCCCCAGTTCACACTCAATTTCCGGTAGTGGGGCAGAAAGTTAACAGATTTATCCCAGTTTATGGAAGCTTCCGACAAGTCGCAGTATGTGTCTAATACCTTCCCAAGTTCGTGAAGAGCGGAGGGGTTATTGTCGCATGCGACTGTAAGATCATCGGCAATCGCTCCCCCCTTCCATTCCAGTTGTGGGGCCAATTTCAGGCCCAAAATGTTAGTATTATTTCTAGGAGAACTTCTAGTTGGAGCACAAATAACAACGGGGCAAGAGGGCATCCTTGTCTGCGAGATCGTGTTAGCTTGAATTCTTACGACAATCTGCCATTCACCATTACAACTGAGGAAGCCTGTTCATAACTAGCTTTAACCCACGTTCTAAAGCCCGGGCCAAAACCCATCTTTTTTAGGGAAGTGTGGACAAAACTTCACCCTACTCTGTCATAAGCCTTCTCCATATCAAGGAGAAGGATTGCGACACCCCTTTTTTCTTTCCCAATGATTTGAAGTGCTTGGATGGTAGCAACTATGTTATCAAATATCGATCTTCCCTTAACAAAAGCACCCTGTTCCCAACCAATGAGCGCAGGGAGGAGTTTGGCCAATCGCAAAGCCAATGTTTTGGCAAAGATTTTATATGTGACGTTAAGTACTGAAATCGGTCTCGAATTGCGCACTTCCCCCTTCTCCCCTTTTTTGTACAAGAGGGAGATCATACCTTGAGTAAATCTCATTGGGAGGTGACTTGTCCTAAGAGACTGGTTGTAAATATCACAAAGGAAAGACGCAAATGCCCCCCAGGCGGCCAGAAAGAGTTCAATAGGGAGCCCATCTATTCCTGGGCATTTCCCTTTAGCCATAGCCCGGGCTGCTCTAAGGATTTCTGCCTCATCCATCGGGCTGTCGAGTTCCTGAGCAGCCGACTGTGAAATGAACTTACTGGTGGGATCCCAGAAGGAAGAGTTTTCTGCTAGGTCCCCTGATAGATCATCGGTTGGGCGTCTAGTGGATACCATATCCCTAAAATAAGCTAATGCATACTCACACATTTGGGCCGTGTCCACTGCAATCGGAAGAGAGCTGTTGAAGGGATGGGCCAGTTCCCTGATTAAGGATTTAGATTTGTGCCGCAACAGGGAACGGAAAGTCAATTTAGTCATTCTATCATAGCCCACAATACCCCTAAGATTCAGGAACTCAATCCACTCAGTCTGTTTCCTTATTTCTAGAGCCTCCAACTCGGCCAAGGCATCTTTTCTAATTGCCGACCAATGCCGGTCTGAGAAAGGGTCCTTCCCCATTTCAGATTCAGCTTGGGTTATCAAGTTGACCATTAATCTTTCTTCCCAGTTTTTTTTTGCAGCCTTCATTCTAGAAAAGGTTATCATTGTCTGTCTTAAGATAGCGATGCCCGTATCTGCCCACTGGAGGGTATCGTCAAACAGTTCTTTCGCATCTTGCCATTTAGTCATATGTGTAGTGATTTAGTCAATAATACCCTGGTCTTTTAGGAGGTTTGTATTTAACCGGAAAGGCGGGCGATATCGTTTTACCGTATCTTTGGGTAGGATATCTAAGAGCACAGGGTAGTGATCAGAGATTGATGCAAGCCTTACTTCGGACCAGATACTGCGATCCCAGGGGTTTTCCCGAGCCAAGAAAAAATCCAACCTTTTCCTAGGGGCCAGGGAAGAGGGTGTGGGAGGAGGACCAAACCAGGTAAACCCGTTATCCTCAGGATGGAAAGTCCTGAAGGGGTCTATCAAAAGCTGTGTTTCACAAAAGGAAGACAGCATAATTGAATCTGAACGAAGAGGGGCAGAACCCAGGGTATCCAAACCTGGGTTGATCACTATATTACAATATCCACACACAATCAGATTTTCTGTATCAGGGAGGCATCCTGGAAGATTCATAAAAAAATATTTGCGACTGTTGTGATCAACAGGTGCATAGACTGTCATTATGGCCCATTCTTCCGCATCTATCGCTACTTTAACCCAAGCCCACCGTCCTTCGTTGTCGTGGTATTGGTCTATTACCACAATATCCAGATCCTTGTTGATGAGGATAGCCACCCCACCTTTGGATCCCACCGCTGGAGAGCAAATCTGGGGGCCATCCCACCAACGCTGAATAGTGGATAATTTAACTGTGTCAAGTTTAGTCTTTTGGATGCACGCTACCTGTACATTTTGTGAGTGAAGCCAATCCTTAAATCTAGTTTTTTAAAACCGTTTATTTGAGTCACCAAATCCCTGTACATTCCATGTAACGAGTCTGATCCTATTTGGAAGGACTATTACCCGAGCCTCTGCCGCAAGGGAGTTGGATGCGGCCTACAGGTCTTGTTTTGGCTATCGTCCCTCTGCCTCTCGGTAAGGAGGGTTGCAAAGGTTCACCTCCCACGCTCGAAGGAGGGGGGGGGTAATGGACAGGGTGGCTAACTCCATCGTAAAATGATATGATGTAAGGCATCAACCACCTCTGTGTGGTGGAGCCATTTTGCAACATCTGTTGTGGACAAGCCCCCTGGCAAAGAAATGTCGCTTAGGGAGTCCGAGGACATGTCCAACAACCTGGGTGAGGGTAACTAATAGATCTGTTGAGCATGCAGTCTCTCCAGATCTGAGGCATTGGCTTGGAGGGCCAGACAGGCCATATGCAGGACAGTCTTGCTGCCCTGACCATTAATCACTATACTGCGCCCACTTTTTATTGTGTGTAGACGAGTGCACGTACCAAAATCCTGTGTGACATGTTTCTTGGTGGCCGAGAGCCATGTCGACTCCGAAGGTGGGCCCGTGGTGGGCACTGCCGGCAGTGATAAAGCCTCCTCTTGGTCCATATTCGTCCAAATCATTGGGCCATGAGGGGAGGGTGTAATTACCAACGGAATCAAAAATTCTTTCACGTTTCCTACAGCCCTGTCTTTAGCTGACAGGGTCTGCATTGGGAGAGACATGTCCAGCTGTTTGGCGGAACGAGGCTTTCCCTGCTTGGGCTTAGCTATATCACTGGGGAGGGTAGTAGCAGGAAATGAGGGGCCTGCTCTGTCCTTTTTCCCTACGACTTTTTTCTTTATCGCCCGCTGCTTTTTTGTTGGGGAAGCCTTAATCGGAGGGCAGGTTGGTCTTTCTGCCGGCGTCGGAGTTTCCTCCGCTCCAGGTGTCCCATTGTGGCTCCCGACAGAACGAAAATCGTCTTTGTCTGAGCTGGACGAGACTTCTGATAACGGGTGCTCCGTCGATGCATCCTTTAATAAATAGAGACTTTTCACTCCCAGACCTGAGTCATAATCTTTTTCATCTTGTGACGAAAGGAAAACCTCATTTTTGTACATGTGTCAACAGAAAAAATTCCCAGAATTAAATAATCATTCTGGAGTAAAATTACATTATAAATTCCAAATTTTCATTCCATCTTAAAAAATGTCACTCCAATTTTAAAATTTTTCATCCTACTTGAAAACTTTCCTTCCAAGAATGGGGTATCCGTTTTTATTTGAAATGCATGCTAAAGATGGAATGAAAGTCTGGATGAGTTCATGGAATATTTTAATTGGACTGTCATTCTAAGTAAGGATTTTCAGTCATAAATAGGTTAATCCAATCTAAATTAGACGATATTTGTTGCAGTAGAATGAAAGTCTAATTAAAGCATTTCATAAACTCATCCAGACTTTCATTCCATCTTGAACAAATAGATGTAGTTGGAAGGGAAAACCCATATTTAGACGGGAACTTATCAAATTAAATTGGAAATTTTAGAATTTGACGAACATTGGAATGATAATTTATAAATATGAAGGATTTTTTTTTTTATGGAATGGTTTTTGAACTTTAATTTCTCATGGGAATTTTTCTGTTGGTCGGTCCTGTAAATACCTCATTCCATCTGACTGGGCCTTGGGAGCCTCCTCCTCTCCCTCGTCGTCCTCAGACGAGGAGAGGATGGGGGATTCTTGTCCCAAGCCTTTATCCAGATCACGTAGTGCTAACTCAATTCCGTGAGGCACAAAGTCCTAATCTCTGTCATCCACGTCATTCCTATCTTCCCTTTTCCGTTTCTCCCAACCTGGGGTAATCCGACCCTCTTCCATTCTGTCTACTGCGGCACATGGACTTTTCCTTTTTTCCACTCCTTCATCCTCCACCGTCTTATTCATGCTGTTTTCCTTTTCCAGTGGAAGTTTCACTAACTGATGTTTCTCCCCTTCTTCCACCTTCCCACCCTTCTTCTCATCACTTCTCTTTAGATTGTCCCCACTAGTGCCCTCCTTGTCTTTCTGTGCCTTCACCCACCGCACTTCTTTCCTTATTACCCCGTCGCTTGCCTCTTTCCCGCCCTCTCTCCCCTTTCCCCCCTTCCCATCCCCACCACCTTGGACTACCTTATCCCCTTCCTTTCCCTTCCCACCCTTCGTTTCCTTGACTACCTTTGCATATGATTTTTTATTCTTCGATGGGCAGTCTTCATCTCCCTCTGAGTGAAAGTGCCTCCAACAGGCCGCACACCAAGGGGTTTCGGCACACACAACCTCCAATTCAATGTATCCATCTGGACCCAAATCAATCACCAAATACCTTTTGTACCGCAATCGGGCCGATGACTCAACGTCAAACCTAACGTTCATGAGTTCAGGGTCAAGTTTGTCTTTGAAGGCGGCGTATTCCTTGATCAGGTCGCTGCCGTACGCATCACGCACCGCCCCTGGGAGAAGGGGTAATACCCCAATTGGAACATGCTGGCATCTAATCCAGAAGAAGCGATGCCTAGACACTTCCCTCCATTCCCAGAGCTCATTTTCGGTCATCCATGGACCAAAAGAAATGCTATATTTAACTTTATCAAGCTCAATTTCCGTCTGAGAAACTTTCAACATATATGTCGCAACTTCCTTGGAGGGGGCTATGTAGGTAATCAGGTTACGCCCCTCATTGTGGAACATGCCTCTCTTTGTCGGGGAGGCGAATTGGGAAGTCGTGGCCCATTCATTCGCATACATCCGTACCAAGCGTTTCTTAACGTTTCAAAGGGAGTGACGAAGTATCGTCACCAAATTGGATCATTACGGCATGCTCATGCAGCCACTCAGCCTGAATTTCATAGAGCTCAGGGTTGACTATGACCTTGACATAGTCCTCTCCCTCTTCCACTCTAGACGGAGCCAGGCGAGGGGGAAGGATCCCATCCAGATAACATTGCGATATAAAGTCGCGAATACGCTGTTTTTCCTTCGGCACGCTAGGCCGGAGGGGCCCTGGAGAGGTCATAAACGAAGAAAGAAAAAAACGGAATACCTCGTCTACTTATAACCGAATAAAGTAACTAAAAGACCTACCTACAGTTAGATACCGACAAGTCGGAGCTTCCAAAACGTCAAGATAAATTATTACTTCCGCCTGCTTCACATAAGATCCCCAGGAAAGAGAAAGATGGACTGGGATCGAATTAAGTTATACCTGCCCCACTTCTTCTTCCATCGATCCTGGTACGAATCGTGAGTCTTCGTTCATCCTTCATGGGCTTCGAATCAACCAGCACAATACAGTCTGTTGACTGGGGGGACCATAGAGCTCCTGACACGCAGAAGGGCAAGACCCTGGCGATGCTCTTTACCCCTGTCCTTTTATGAGGGACATCGCCTCAGTCCATGAACAATCGAGAGGAATTATGAAAGCAAGGACACCTCTCACGTCACCACGTCACCACATCACCACGTTGCACCTCATGGCGTCCCAAGACCTGCCCTAATCTTTGTTTAGCGCCAAGCGCCGCCGAAACGGCGTGTAGCGCAGAAAGAGATTAGCGCAGGATTAGCGTCGTCCGGTCCTCCATGTCCTCCTTTTAAACTTTGCATTCATTTACGAAAATTAAATAATAAAAAAATAAAACATGTTATTCGTTAAAATAGGACATTATATTGTGTCCTCTTTCGAACGAATTCAGTTTCGGCTACAACCTAAGCAATGTAGGCATGCCCATCCACTCGGCCCATATGCGGAAGTATGCTGAGATCCATACTTGTTTATAATTGTGACGACCAAGGCCCCTTGATTGTATCATTGTCGGAGAAGTTCGACAAGTGTGCTGAGATCCGTACTTCTTTAGGACTGTGATGAGCAAGGCGCCTTAATTGTATCCTTCTTGGACAAGCTCGCTTCCACTATCCCGAAGTAACCTAGGCATGTCCATCCTCTCGACCAAAACGGTTATATGGATGTTTGGTGAGATTCCGTCTTCTTTAGAATGCTTAATATAGCGACTGGCACGCTCAGGCACTTGGGCCACATGCGGAAGTGTGTTGAGATCCATACTTCTTATACTTTAAAAATTTAATGAGCAAAGGTGTCACAACCGAATCGATGTTGGATAATACTTTTATGAAGCGCCTCGATTGTCTCCTTATTGGACAAGCTTGCTTCGGTTATTTGTTAGTAACGTAGGCATGTCTATCCTCTCAGTCAAGACGGTTATATGGATTCGGTGAGATTTCGTGTTCTTTAGAAGGCTTTGTATGGCGACAAGCACGCCCAGGCACTTGGCCGACATGCGAAAGTGTGTTGAGATCCATACTTGTAATACTTTAGAAGGCTTAGTATAACGACAAGCATGCCCAGACACTTAGCCAACATGCGGAAGTGTGTTGAGATCCATACTTGTTATACTTAAGAAATTTGATGAGTGAGGTGTCCTAACCGAACCCATGGTGGATAATAGATTTTCGAATGTCATCGCTATTGCACTTTATTCAGCAAGGTGTCGACCTCTAACGAGGACACAACTTTTCTGATTTTGTATGAGAACCGAACTTCTTCAAGTGACGCAATGTATGTTTGATAATATCTGGACTTATTTCGCTATGTGATGAAATGCATACAAGGAAGGGGGTTGATTATGATGGCAAGCAACATCTGCACTTGAGCAGGCCATTCACAGAAGTCCCGGACATGAACACGAAATCATTTGTTAAATGTACTGTAGGCAATCACAAACCAAGTGATGGTCGCGTAATGAACTGCACACTGACACACTTATCGAGATTTGTCATGCATGGGCACACCAATTTATTATATTGCACAAGAAATTCAGATATCATCTGATTTCAATTCTTATGCACACTCTAGTTTCTTATATGTGAAATTCGGAGAAAAGAACGCAACAAAAATTTGTCCTACCGCACGAGAAAAGACGCAGATGAGAAAGTCTACAAATGCCGTCATACAGACAACGACCATCCTAAACAGAACTCGAAATTGAGCGAATAATAGAGAACGAAGTTGCACTGAGAAAGGAAGTGGAATAATGTCATGTATAACCAAATACAATCGCTATTGAATGAAATAAAGTCAAAAGAATGTACAGAAGTCATGGAAACCAATCAATAACAATGATGTTCCAAAAGTCATGTTGCCAATTGTCGTCTAATTAGAGGGATATCTTCAGAAGAGAACCTGAAAGGTGGTCGATCACCACGTTGCAACAACGTTCCAAACGTCAACATGAACACCCCGCAACTAGCTCCATCAACTTGTCTCGGAACTCCTTCCACAACAACGTTCCCCGCCATAGACTTCCAACTCCTAGGCGACCGGCTATGTGAGGTATCACGTTCTAAGTACTGTACAATCAACTCGAAAACACTAAGGTAGAAACGTGAATCTGCTATAATGCGAGGATAGGAGTCGAAAATCTCGAAGACATTGTCCCTCAAATTGATGGACAGGAGGATCCAGTGATCATTATCTTTGTGCACCGGAACGAAGATCATATCGAAGTGAAGCAGATCTACATTCTTAGCCCACCTTTCCACCCCATCGTGTCCATGGAGTTGCAGCTTACTGAAGAAGAATGAATTGAAGCTGAAGACTCGAAGGCCTGATGATGTTTCAAGTGTCACGCATGCAGTCGACCCCGAAAGCGCCATGTAGAAATTCACCACCTCATCGTTGAGATTCCCATCGACAAGCAAGACGATGAGCGGATCTTTAGCTGTGATTCTCACTTGATCATCACCGAAAGTAGATAGAACATGATGAGGTGGCACCAAACCTCGGGATATGTCACCCATAACCCTCAAGACTCGAGGCGCAATCCCGTTATCGAAAGTCCCCCCGCAGACTCCACGCGCTCTGGCGCGAACTGCACATCATCGACCAATGCACACGCTGGGTTGTGAGAAATGGTGTTCTAAAGATTGTCCCTCATCGCGCGATGCTTTGCTAAGTATTTTTCATATATGGCCTGACCCCTAGTCACAGATTGCGGATACGTCCCCTTCTCCGGAGGCAGAAGGGAAAGACATTCGTCAATGGCCACGGCATGGTCCTTCTCCCCAATCTCGACATCAACCCCTGATGCCCTTAACATATTATTGTGTCTTGTCGTGAACCTGGGGACTTTCTGCAATATTCGTGCCGGATATTTCGAGAAATTTGAGGACCTCCTTTTCCGAGACGACCCTACCCCTGTAAAACAAAAAAAAGACAGAACCCGAAATGAATATACAATATGATGAAAGTTGAAAAGTAAAACAATGACATAGCCATCTAGATGATGGTCCTCTCCAACCAGAGGAGTTTGTCATCACATGGTCGTGTGCAGCGAGGAGCATATGAGCCTTTGGACATGAAGACGAGGAGCGCAGTCCAGCCTGAGACCCCTGCACACGGCGAAGCAAGACCACGTTAGGCCAAACAGGAGGGACGTCGGCAAATGGCGAAGTCCAGATTCCGGCAGACTAGAAGCCACAATGGGCACACACCGACCAACCACGCCCGGCCCGGACACTGGAAGTGAGGATACCGGCGCACTTGAAAGATCGGACCTCTGGAAGGTCTGTTTTTTGTACACCGCCGGTGTCGTCACGACCAGTGTCGGCGGGAGATGGAAAGCCGACACTTGCCCATGTGCGGATGTCGACGGAGTATCAGAGACTAAGCACATCACGCACCCGCATAGAAGCGCGGATACCAGCGGACTTAAACAACCAGCAGACAGAAGGGTGGTTTATCTTCTCGGCAGGGGTTGTTCGGTCCGCCGGTATCCGCACTTGTTTTGCCGAAGGGTGACGAGGCCAGTCTCTGTGTGCCGGTCGTGGATGAAAGTCCGCTGGAATCCATACTTAAACCATATGCCAGCTGTCCTCATCTCGTCGACAATGGTAGTGCGGATACCGGCGGACTACAACGACCTGTCCTGCCAAGGAAAGAAAAGCACACTCCAGACGAGGCGGACAGGGCAGGTGTGTCGTACCGGAAGGACCCAATGTTATGGTCCGCCGGTATCCGCACTTGTTGTGTCGAGTCCAATACCGGTTGATCTGTATGTGCCCATCGGGGCTTGAAGTTCGGCGCAGCGCGAACTGCGGCAAGTGTCGGCAATCCTCTTCTGTGGCCGCCTGTGTAGGGAAATCAGGCTGGAGTGCGGAGGACGTTATATCGTCCAGCCGCACAGACTTCCGTCTTTGCTACCGTCCATGGGAAGGCGAAACTTGTCCTCGCCTCAAAGACAAGATGGCTGACTGACATCGTTGGCACTCTAGAGACGTTGACGTGCAGACGTTGCCGATATCATCAACGCTTACCAGCCGGTTTTTCCCTTCGTTCCTTCGTCCGCGACGTGGGCTCGGGTAAGGCGAGCACCGCGAGAGGCGGAGTGGCCACCCTGCTTTTTTTCGGGGACGTCACATGTAGGCATCCGGCAACCTCCCCCCCCCCTGTGCCAGGGAAGGCGTCTGCTAGTGTCGGAGAGAAGGGCGACATGGGCGCGAAGTCGGCGCTCGCGGAAGGATCGGTGTTGACGCGGCCGACGGTTTTTGCAGGTGGGGACGGAGTTGATATGGCCTGTTGTTTGCTGAATATGCAATCAATGACCTCGTTGACGTTCATTCGCCGACTCGTTTTCGCCGCGCTCACTGCCATGGCGACCTCGTCGCACCCGTCCCAGAGATGCACTGCCGGCGCCAGCGGGTGCACATCATAGGCACCCGGGTCTACGAAAAGGCAAGTGACCGCCTGAGTCTCCATCAGTCTCCATCTCCATCGTCGTTGCGTCGTTGTCGACATCACCTCCGCGTTGCATCATGTACAACTGCCCGAACGAGTCAGACGACTCTCCGCAGCCAGCATCTTCTCCACCATCCGGTCGTTCGTCTTCTGAAATACTGAATCTGCGCTCTCCACCGTCTTCTCCTTCACGCAACAAAATTGAATCCCTTTCCCCCCTTCCGCTCCTCCCCCACCTTCTTCCCATTCCTCCTCTTCTTGGTCGTCCTCCACTTGCACCCATTCTTCCCCCCCGTCCCTCTCGCGCAGTTCGGCTCCTTCCACCGCCTCATCGTCGACTCCCGCCGACAAGTCTTCTGTCCCCGCACACGTATCATCTTCCGCCCGCCCGACGACCTGTGACTGCAGGCCTGTTCCCCAGCAAGTTCGGAAACCGGCGGAGTTTGATTTGCGGAGCACATACGGCGGCCCGCTATCCAACCGTGCGTTGAACTCCGCAGGCGGCCCGTCTTCGACGGCCGACGCAGTCCCCTGCCGAGTAGGAAAGCCGCCGGACGTCGCACAGGACGAAACCGAAGTGCGGATTCCGGCGGACTTCGTTTTGGCACCCGCTTCCGACACTTCTGCTCCTGTAGCGCTGCGCAGGACGGGCTCCCCATCGTGCGCCTCGCTGGCGTGGTTCGGATAACGGCGAACTCGTACTTGACGCCGGTGATTGGAACCCCCGCACTTGAGCCTCTCCTGATGCCAACGGACGCGGCGAAAGCAGTCGTCGAGGGGAGGGCCGACCAATGTGTGGTCGATGTAGTGCGGATGCCGACGGACTTCGCAGCGTCCAAGGGCGCCGGCGCCTCGTTCTGAGAAGTTCAGATGCCGGCGAACTTAGCCAATTTGCGGGCCCCGTCGGTCGTTTTGTCAGCAACGTTCAACACCCCAACCTGGCCGCCGCTTTCCAATGTTTTGCCCTGGTCGTGAGTGCCAACCGATCCCCCTGACGCGGTGCCCTCTCCTGTCCCCTTGCCGCTTCCCCCCCCCCCTCCCCCCCCCGGAGGGCCTGGAGGTCCGCCTCCCGCACTCCCCTGCGGCCCCGTCGCAGGGGGACCTTCCAGTCCACACTTCCCTTCGAAGGGCTCGTATCGAAGTCGTAAAACTCATCCGAGAGTTCCACTGCAACCACCCCTTGTCTTGAAGCTCCAGAAACAAACGATCAGTGTGATTAACGACAGCCGGGTCGGTGGCCTGAGGATGGGGGTTCTCGGACGCCACTTTTTCCGCCACACCACTGCTTGCGAGTTGCAAGTACTCAGACTTGGGAAGGCGCGAGCATGGCTCCCACTCCCCAGCCGAGTCCACGACGACCATGATCCACTCCCCTTTGCGGATTGCAGGCTGGATCGTTCCCGGGTGCCAAATCATGTCGTGACCCCAGTCTGCTTCATTAGAACGAGTGTGGTTGTGCCCTTCAAAGTGAATGGAATCATCCTTCCGAGAAGGATGTTCCAGCGGGACTGCACTCCCTGGACGCAAGCGAGGCGGGGCAACAGCTCGGGGTGTGAGTTTCGCCAACAGCTTGTTGGGGGTCTTGCCGGGGGTGGACCTGCGAATGGGTGTCGCTTGAGCGGTCTGGCTTGATGACGCACCTGCCGTCGAGGAACCTGGGGATGGAAGAACAGGAGCAGGGTGGTAATTGAGGGCGATTTCCTTTGTATCGCTATCCTCCTCCGAAACATTGGTGTCGAAAAGGACCCCGGTCGACGCCTCTTCGTCCGTGTCAATCAATACACACTGTAACTCACGACCCTTAGCTCCTGCTCGGACTTGACAAAGTACAAACACTCTAGTCGGTCCAGGAAGTTCTTCGCGTTCAAACGCGAGGCGCCATGGTAGTTGTCCAGCAACGCAAACATGTGCTCCCTGCGGTGAATATACTCAGGGTCTCCTAGGCCGAGTCTCCAAGAAGAGGAACTCGTATATCCTGTCCCTTTTCCTCTCGCTTAGCTTGAACCACATGTCCGTGGACGGCTTCCAAGCGCGTTTCGGTTTGTCGGTCGTCGAAATGAACTCGCAGCGGTGGGCTCCAAAGTTGACTGCGCTTTTCAGGAAATCTAACGTGTATTGCAGCAACTCCGAATTCCCCTCCAACGCAATGACGTTGCGACCGCCCTTCAAAGCCTCCCACACGACTTGCGAGTGCGCCTTCCCGAGAAACATGACACCCTCCCCCTTTTTGCACACGAATTCCAGCAGATGGGCCAACTGTGCGAGGTTCCGTTCCATGTCCTTGTAAACCTTGGGTTCACGGCCAGGTATGACCAGGGGCCATTCACAAGGCTCGAACGGCATCTCCGACACGTCCGTCGGTGTGACTTTGATATGTGCCCTAACAGCAGCAGCATCACCCGCCCCCAACCTCGCGTCACAAACCATAGACATGTTCTCCCGCAAGTCGTCACCTTCGAAAAGGATGTACATGCGGTCGTCCAATGAGTACAAGTTGTTGCCGACCGCGAAGCTTTTCTTCTGCTGCAGCCTCCGCACCCACTTTCCTGCCATTGCCTTGACAACGGACAGATGGCGCGTGCTCCCGGGGGACGAAAGCAACGACCGTCCAGTGCGAAGGGAACAAATGTTCTAGAAGGGCATTCAAACTCTCGAAAGCTTGCTGTGTCCACTTTTTGATGTCCACAGGATCGCACAAATCAAGAACGGCAGTGTGGCATTTCGTGATCCCAATCGCCTTTTCCAACTCGACGACCTTCATCTGCGCCTCCAGAGGATCGACGCCGAACGGGGCGATGGATGTCACGTCTCCCAAGTCCTGCCACCGAATGTGCACCATGCCTTCGGCAAGCACGACGTCCATGCTCTTCGACCTGCCGCTGGTCAGCACGGAAAGGACCTTGTTCTTCCAGTCGATGGACAACTTCTTGTTTTGAACCAGTTTTTTTGTCGCCTTGATCAACTTGTCGTCCTCGCAGCCCATGAACGAGGGACAGTCTTTGAACAACGACGAGTCTCCAACGAGTTTCCTGCTCCCGTCCCACAATGCTGCATCCAGTCCCTGGCTTTTGAACTGTCCCAAAATCGCCTCTCTTTTCCGCAGGAAGGGACACGAACGCATCCAATCGGAGTCAGGCCGATTCTCGTACTTGAACTGGTAGTAGTTCCATAACCGCACCAAGATGCGGTCGCACTTCACAAGTTGCACTCCCTCACGCATCCCCAGCTTCCCTTGCTTTGCCAACACAGAGGAGCCGGTCTGCACCCACACCACCTCGCAGTTGAGAACCTTCTTCAGCAACCGACATTTCTAATTGTTGGTGAGGGCTTCCATGCTTTTCCAGCAGTGCGGATCCGGCTCGGTGACTTGGACGAACCAGTCGTCGAACTCCTTTTCTTTTTTTCCTTTCTTTTGAGGCCCTTCGACAGGGATGTTGTAGACGACCTTTTTTCGCCCGGCCTTATCATTTTCGATGTGGCTCACACCGGCCTTCACGTCCTTCACCTTCTTCTTCTTCGCGATCCACTTCGCCCCTTCGGGTGCCAACAGTCTGCCCGTCTCCCATTTCTCGAAAAATTCCATTCCCACTTTTCAGGCGCTTTCCCCGGCCATCGCAAGCGGGAAATACGGTCGAAGGGCAGCGTTCTGTTTCCTTATGCCTTGCTCGGTCTTGTCATCAGCGAGTATCCACAAATGATTGTACGACGTCTTTTGAAGCGCCTCTTTACAAAACTTGCGCCACGCCTCCACCTGAGCCTGTTTCCCGCTCGGGTTCCCCATAACAGCTCTGGGGTAACCCCTTTCCTTCCAGCACCACCGGATGTCCTTCATCGAAAGTTTCTGTTGTCTGGGAGGCGCCTTCAGGTCCTTCTTGTTGTCGTCGGCGCTGACCAGAAAATACCCTTCGAAGTCCGCGTCGGAGAAGTACACCATTCGTGCAGGCCACCTCTCGAAGTTGTACCTCACCGCCACGTCTGTGCCAAGCAGCGTCCTGGCGGCGGCCGCGTTGTGCTGGCCGGCAACAGCGTAGTAGTAGTATTGGCCTGCCAGCTCGTCCTTCCAGTCCTTCGGTTTCTCCAACCCCAGCGGCGCCAGCTTCAGTGTGGGCAGCTCGTACGTCTTCTCGGCCTGCGAGTAGGCCGTCATCATGGTGTCCATGATCAGCTATGTTTGCACCGGATCCAAGGAACGCTGGTTGTACCCTGCTTCCCACTCCCCGATGTCGACGACTTGCGACGGGTTAATGGGGATCTCCCGCTTTGTGCGCACGCCGTCTTTCCATTCGAGGAAATATGCCGCATCGATGTCGATGGGAGCCCTCTGCTATACTGGGTCGGACAGGGGCTGAACCTGCGCCGAGGCTGGGCGTTTGTGACTTGATGTGCCCACATGCCCCTCCCCTCCCTTCCTTTTTCCCCCTGACATCTGCGGGGCCTTTGTCTTCTGTTTCTTTGAAGCACCCGACGCCACTCCACGGGAATCTCCCCTTCTCTTTTGTGCAGATTGTTGTTCACCCTCCTCTCCCCCGGACACGACGCCAGCAGGCCTCCCCCCCGATCCCATTGTGTGACCCCCGGCTGACGTCAAGGGCTGCTCCTGGACCGGTGTTCTTGTCTCAACCCTCGGAATGCTCAGCACCCTGCGGTCTCCCCCTCTATCCAGCGAATTCCCCGTCCTCTCCTCTTCTTCCTCCTCGCTGTCGTTGAAGCGACCATGTTCCTCGCCACGGTGGAGTTGGAACGAAGCACCGAAACCCAAATCTCCTCCCTCGGACGGAGCACCGCTGGATTCGAACCCGGTGCACATCTGCACAGGCTGCAACAGTTCCAGGTTGCATGAGATCTGGCAGGGTTCATCAAGGTGGATGTCATTCCTTTCCACCAAGTCGAAGAACTCCGCCGCGAGGTCAATGTAGAAAGGGGTCCTCAAAGCCCCTGCACCAAACCCCTGGAACAGATCCCACGACAGGACCGCCCCTTTGGAAGCAGCCACGATGTCGCGCTTCGAATTGTAAACCGCGTGCATCTTGAAATACATCTTGTCATGACTCCTAACCGCCTGCCATCCCTCCACCTAACCAAGCACTCTCCGGCGTCTACTATCTTCCACGAATAATACAGGACCGCAAGGCGCTCTCGTGGGGTCGTTCTCATCCCCGCAGCACCAATCCATATACCATTTCGCGCGCACATGATTGGACCACGACTTCGCGGTCGTCGATTCCCTCCCCGAGGTCCCAGTAGGCTGTTCCTCGCCCCTTCACGTAGACATTTTGTCTACACTAGCCCATATGAAAGAAGCATTGGGACACACGGAAAGCACAAACAATCAGCACAAACGAGAAGTTCGAATGTCGGCAGACTAGCTATGATGCAGCACACAAAAACAATTTTTTTGGCGTGGACTAAACACAACAGTCACAAAGCGGAGGCGCGCTGCCGTTGAGCGTCGAAGGCAGAGGGTGAAGGCGACCGTGCCGTCCGAGACCGCTGCCCCGCATATGTTGCAAGTGCGGATACCGGCGAACTTCGTCCGCCAGAGATGAAGACGCCCTCGAGACGTCCTCGCCTGCACATCGCCAAGAAATGTTCTCAACAGAGAACAGCTTTCCAAAGCCGCGCGCCCTTCTAGACCGAACCGAGGGGGCAGAACAGCGACAGTGCTCGAATGGAGAACCCGTGTGCGAAGTCCCGATACCGGCGAACTTTCCTCAACTCCTCGGTGCGCTGTATCACAGGATGTGCTGACACGGAGAGGGGTCCTTTTCAGAAGTTCTTGCCGGCACATTGTTGCGTGCAATGTTCCAGAACACAACACGATGGGGGACCGAGAAGGTCGAAGAGACACGAAACGAAGAACAATCTGGCGAAGACATTTACGAAGTGTGGATACCGGCGAACTTCAGTAATTGCTCAGGATGTGTGGACGCAGAGAGGGGGTGGTTGAGAAGTGTTCGACGACACGTTGTTGAAGAAATATGCACAACATCCCTAAGCACAAGACGTCGGGGCTCGAGGACCTCGTATCCACACGGAAGGAACAACGACCCCGCGGAATAAACTGACGAAGTTCGGATGCCGGCGAACTTCACAAATTGCGCAGGCCATGTTGTGCACTGTTAGCCGAGAGGCTCGCAAGGAGTGCGGACCACCCGAGCAATGATCACCGGCATACTGAGTGCAACTGCGTTCATCGTGATACCTCCCTGACCCCAGTTGACCCCAGTTGCGATTGAACATCTCGAAAGACTGCCCGAACAACTGATAACCTGCGGGATCCAAGGGGGTGTTCTGTTTATGGAGTGCGAAACTCTGCTCGAAACAGACCCAAGTCCAACAAGAAGGTCAACCAACCTGACCCCAGTTGCGATTGAGCATCCCGAAGGACTGCTC